CCCCAAGTCATTCCAGCTTGCCTTTTCATCCATGCCCAGATGGATGCAGCCTGATTTTAAGCAAACTCCAGAACAACTGGATACACAGTTGTAGGGTTTACTCACAAGCAAGAATCTGATTTGGGACTGAAGCTGGGGATTGGCGTGGTACTCACACAGCCATGCTTCTGTTCAGGTGGAACTTCCTGTTGGCCAGATAAAACTCACGGAACTGACAGTTTATAAAATCAGATGACATTGTTTAAGATGCATCATTATTTTAAAACATTCATGCATCATTATTTTAAAACATTCTTATGTTGACAGACACTACTGATAATATCCTTAAAGCAGACGTTTAATTTTGGAGTCATTCAGATACTGCTTTTTCTGTCTCAGAATCATGCAAATGTCTTTTCTTTTGCTGCTTGTTAAAAAGTCTCTAGCGTACAAATGAATCTGCTGAGAAAAAGTTGCCTTTATTAAATGGAGTTAAATATTCAAAAGAAACTATTGCAATATGAAATTACAATTTTCTACCACTTGTGGTGTTTATAGGCATCTAAGTATAGGTGTTCCTTTAACTTCTGAGTTTGTTTAGACATGTGAGTGAAAGTTTTTTTTAGACATCTTTCTTAGAAAAGAGTAGAGGCTCTGACAGATGAACTTTGCCAGACTTTCTGTAGCAGTTTAAGATACTCCTGCCCCAGTTGCAGAATCAGCAGAACAGCATATGCCGCCCCTGCTGTCCCACAGTTCGGCATCCTAGATTCAAAAGGGTTGACTGAATTGAACTGTGAACAGCACAACGTGTTTTCTGCCAAGTCTGTTACTGGGGAATAAACTGCCAAGATTTACCAGAGCTAGCTATTTAAAGAAAAAAGTAAGAGGTTTATTAGAAGAATCTCTCTTGCCACTTCTTCAGCCTGAACAGGAAATCTGAAAGCTTAAACATATTTGTGTGTATTGTGCACATACAACATACTGTAACGGATGTACACAATTACTAATGCTCCTGTCCAATCTTGTCTTTGAGTCAGAAAGTTAGAAATCATTATCTCACATTTGGAAGTTGATGTTTCCAGCCGTAGGATTTCAGTAATTCACGGTGAAGTTCGGTATGGCCAGTATTTTGCTGCTACTTAAACCTATACTATGATCAGTCAGTCCTGCCTGCTAGGAAATGCAGCAAGGGCCTTTATACAGCGATGATTGGTATAAAATATGATACTGTCAGGTCAGCGGGAATTAGTTGTACTTTTTATCGGAATCGGTCATGGATGCTTAATATTTCCTTTCAAAATATGTTACATGCCATATATAATGTTTTGGCTGTCTTAATTTGTATCGTTTGCTTGCACAGTCCTTGCGCTATGATACTTAACTGTAAAGTGCTTTGAGATACCTCAGCTGTGAAATCTACATTATGATTAGAAGGAGATTCCTAGCACTTCTGCTTTTCTTCTAGAGTTATTGATGGCTTGGAGACCCTGGATGAGCTGGAGAAGCTGCCTGTGAATGAGAAAACCTACCGACCTCTTAATGATGTTCACATTAAAGATACTACAATTCATGCCAACCCTTTTGCTTTGTAGCCACAGAATGCCTCAACACATTCTTTGGAGACTGGTCAGATCGGCTGCTGGATTATGGGGTTTAAAGTGTTATTAAGAAGGGTTACTTGAGCTGGATCATACTTTGCTCATTGAATGCAGGATTTTCAGGAGTTATGACATTGTTTGGGAGTTGGTACAGGGAAGTCTTGTGCTTTAGAAGCCAGTTTTTCCAGAGTATCTTCTGGGGTTTTTATTTTTAAACATTGCTTTTTATACTTGTAAAATAAGAAAAGACTTTTAAAAATATTTTTTTGCAAATCTTTGTTTCCTGCCTTATCTTTCCTAGTGATACTATGTTAAATCAATGTCCTTTGCTGCAATTTCATACTACCAGTTTTCTGAAACTTTCCCATGTGACTTCTAACCTAAGGATACTTCACTGATTTTTAGAAAATTGAGTAGGATAGGCAGTTTTTTCCCCTAGGTGAGACAAGTGTCATAGGGAGATGAAACCTTTCTCTCCTAGAGGATTAAAGACTGTATTTAGAGGAGTGCTTGCTCCTGCACTGCTGTGTTGGAATAATAACCTCTTCAGCCTCCACAAAACAATCACTTCTGCCTCTGGCACAATGCTTTTGGTATGAAAGAGTAAGTGTTTGTGTCTTTATATAGCTGTTGATTGAAACTAGGTAACCATGGATTTACTGTAACTCGTTTTTCATCACTTTATTGCACAAACAGTCAGGGGTAAACATAACAAAGAGTAGTGACAAAAAGACTGTGGTCAGACTTCTAACCAAGAATATCATAATACACCCAAAATAATAAAAGATACTGTCGCCAAGATGGTGTTGAACAAGTAAGAGAGCGCTGCTGTTTGGTCTTGTTTGAGACCAAATGTTGGACTCAAAGCCTGCAAGAGGGTACAGAGATATTTGAATACTGACTGGTCAAGAGGAAAAATAAAATACATGCATACATATGCATGTGTGTATATATATATATTGCTGATCCTATGCTCAAGTCACTTAGTATAGTAAGCATAAAATAAAGTGACTTAAGCAGGGAAGAGAGTGATTTGTACACATCAAAAAAGCAGTTCTCCACCGTGGGCATACTGGGAAAAGCAGAATGTTCTACTCTTCCTTGAAATCTCCTTGTAGAGTTAAAAAATGCATTTTGTCATCAGTTTGGTTTCACGAAGCAGGAAGAAACCAACTCATTTCCACAGAGGTTCATTTTCTGACTTTATAGGCATGAGGGTATATTTCTAATTCCAGCTGTGCATGAGAGACCTGGACAGGAGAGAATGCCCACAGCTCCTGCATCCAGCTCCTACTGTTCTGGACTTCTTCCCCCAATCCTCCTTGGACTCAGTCAGTATCTCTTAAAAAAAAGAAGTCCATTCTCATGTATGTGCCTTGTAATCCTTGGGGGGTCCAGGTCCAGCTGACTTGCAGGCTGCTTCAGACCAGTATTTCCCACTTTGAGATTTTGCCTCTTAAAATAAAGAGGAGAAGTTATTTGCAAGAGAAAGGCAAAGGTATGCCAGGTACAGATCCCTGAGGTGTTAATGAGGAGGTTAATCAGTACCCTCTCTCTGAGACAAAGTTTCTGTATTCTGTATGGGGTGTTGCTTAAAGCTCCTAGCCCTTGCTCCAGATTTAATACATCTTACCCTAATGCTTCAGTCAGTCAGGTAAAGGATTTAATTATTTTAGCTCTGTGCTCTTTCTGTCTCTTCCATATAACCAGTGGTAACAGCAAGTAGACAGAAGCATGCAACTGCATGTTTGACTGCCACACTGACACTCCTGCCGTGCAGAAGGATGGACGGACATACTGGGAACCTTCCTACAGTGCAAAGCTATCAATAATTTAAAATGGTGACATTGGCACTGAACTAGAAACAATTTCAGGTCAATTTTTTTTTTCCTCCACAAAAAGAAGGCTGTTATATAGAATGTGTGAAATACAGGGCCACCAAGAAATTTGCCCTCTGGAGGACACATTAAACTTAGATCCTTTATTTTTTATCAAAAGCTATGTATTGCGAGTGATCTTGTGAGACAGGATTACATCCTAACTTTTAAAAATTGCATTATGTTTGTTTTCCTGTTTGTGGCTCTGAATGTCTCCCAGGTTCTCCCTGAGAACCTGGAATACAACAGGAAAAATAATGGTGGGGTTGGTCCCATCCACTTGGTGAAGAGAAAGCAAGGCAGAGAGCAGGAGTAGCCCAGCTGTGGGAGTGTGTGATTTTGTGGGCGGTCACTGAGTACAGCGTACATGCAATTTAGCTCTTGCACGCAGTCAGCTGTTGTGTCACCAGCTGTTTGGACTTTTGTGATGTGTGTAATCCTTTAAATAGCAAAAATGCTGCAGACAGTACTCTTCTTACTGTTCTCGACTTGCGCCTTGTAAACTCCTGTGTTTACTTCCATCAGTTTGGTCCTTTATCGCAAACACTTACAGCCACAAGGTGAGTTCTGCTGAAATAGACTTACCCATGTGAAGAAAAATAGGTACATGAACACAACAGGCGTGCATTATGACTGTGATGGAGGGTGTCATCTGTGTTCTAGATTGCCTCTGACCTTTGCTGGCATTTTGGTGGTAGAGGTGTGTCATGCTGGGAGCAGTACATAGTCTGAGCTGAAGAGCGATGGACAAAAAGAAAAAAAGGGTACGTTATCTATGGGCAGTGACAAACCTGCACGTGTAATGTACGTACTGCATGTTGATCACAGGGTCAGTTGGGGAAAGAAACAGAAAAAAAACCCCGAAGAGCAAGGAGGGTCATTTATCAGGGTTGGAAGTGTTTCCGAAGGCTTAGTCCTTCCCAGACTAAAAAAAATGTTGGGTTTTAGGAAGCTGATGTGCATAGGCTGTTGTAGTGTTTCGGGACTGTTTTATCCTTGGATGCTCTTTTTCCACATAAGTTAGGTTGCACGTGAGATGTTTGGCTGCTTATTAGGGGGGTTGGGGAACCAAATTTCAGGCGTAATGCTTGGCTGGCTCTGCTGAGGTGACGACTGGTAGGTGGCAGACAGGCTTGAAAGGTGGCAAGGCGCGCGGGGTGGCGAGG